TTTTTTTTCTTAGTTGTATGTATGAATGCTTCGTAAATTTCACTTCATGTTTGAATATTTTTCTTAGAACATAACTACAAAGCAAACTTTATATTCTTTAAAAAATAAATTATAATTAGAAAAAAAACGTATATCTTAAACTATAAATTATAAAGTCTTCTCTAGGCTTTGCTCCAGGTTTCTTTTTCATGGCAAGATTAATGATAGAAAACTCCATTTGATTTCATGGAATGCCACTGCCACGCCTACCAGATTGGGGGGGATTGGTATTCCTTCTGTTGATGCTCTTATCTTTGCCAACCACTGTGCTTTTATTTGGAGATTCTTTACTACGGAAAATTGGGCTATGGCTTGGTTTAGAAATAAATACATTTCACCTTGGAAACCTCTTATTTCTGCATCTTCGAAATTCTGGAGAAAGGTACATGAAACTGCTGTCACTATTAAAGGGAATATTTCTTTTACACCTTCTAGAAATTGCAATTTATCTATGGATTGGGATCATTGGTGCATTGGTAAAGCTCTTGTAGATATTATGCCTTCTTTCAAATTTGAAAAACCTTTCGTGCAATGCTACAATGACTTATATGGCTGGAATTTACCACCTCACACCCCGACTTTGCTGATTTCTGAGATTATGAATGTGCATTTTTCTGAACAAATGATTGTTTCTTGGAATGGCTCTATTAATCCTACCCTCTCAACTTTTTAAAACAAATTTTTTGGTGCTTTTGAGGAGGTTATGTGGCACAAATTTATTTGGCATAAGAAAAAATCACTTCGTTTTTCTTTTTATGCCTGGATGGCTATGCTGGGTAAATTAAAAACTGCTGATCATCTGATTCTGAGAGGGATTGACGCTTTAGCTGCTTGCTCCTTTTGCTGTGATGGTAGTGACTGCCATTCCCATATCTTTTTTAGTTGTGACTACTCCTACACTGTTATTACCTCCCTCTTACCTCCTCTGGGAGCCTTTCTCTTAAGTCCAAATCTGATGCAAATTTTTCAATGGTTTGATGAATCTGTGGATTACTGTTGCTGGGAGAAAAACTTCTTCTATTTCACCATTTGTTGCACTATTTATTACCTTTGGCGTGAAAGAAATTCTAGGAGGTTTGAGAATGTTTGGAAAAGCCCCTCCCAACTGTTCTACATTATTCGTAATGCTATCATTGCCAAAGTTAAACACTTGAAGAGATTTGATGAGCTTAAAAGAAGATTATGTTTTCTTTGTTAATTCTGTTTTGACTGCACCTGTTTTGTCCAACTACTCGGTGGCGTCTAGTATCTGGAGGTTGCAGTGGCTGGTGTATTCCCTTATGGTTTTACCTTATATTCTGTTTTACTGCTGTGAAAGGTTGGTTATGGACCGTTACTTCAGAATGCTGTTTTGCTTTTTTCGGGTGACTGGTGTCACATTCTGTCTCAATTTGCTGCGCAATTTGCTGCTGAGGCTGAATCTGGATGTTGCTACAAGTTTTTTGGTGGTACCTGTATTTTTGTTCATTCTACAGGATGCCTGGACTGATATTTTTGCAAGGACGATGATGAATGCTGGTTTTTTTCAGCTACCCCTTGGACAGCCGTTATGGCAACCAGGGGTTTGTGTCCTGCCCCGACCCTCCCGAGTTCAGATCTTACAAGATATCGGCATGACAGCCTGAGTCCTATTGGCTTTTCAGCCATTTTTGTTCTTTATTATTGCAGTTTTGTAATTTTCATTTTAGAACTCCTTAACTTCTTTTTAGTTAGGGAGTTATAGTTTTGGTTCTTACTTTTCTTGTAACCTTTTTATATTAATGAATGGGCAATGCCCCAAAATTTCCCCAAAAAAAAAAACTATAAAAATTAAAAAAGCAGATAAATAATTTTTTTAATAATCAACTCTTAACTACAATAATAAGGATTATGTAAAATGACGTGAATTTAAATAAAAAACTGCAAGAATTATAGCTGATCCTAAAGAAAATACATCATTATAAAAAGCAAACGCATATATATTGTAAGAGTATTTCTTATCATTAAAATACTAAAACAATCATTATAAGAATCAGAAAAGAAATGTTAATCATATTTTTCAAAGAATCGTAGAAACAAAATCAAAGTTATATAATTTCATGAACATCTCATAATTCTATAAAGCTCATATGAAATCAATATGCATGATAATAAATTATAGGAAGTAATTTTCAACATACTCATTAGAAGGCGTTAGTGTGAAGGCTGGTGAACTCTGGAATTAAAGCTTGTCCCAAAATCTTCATTTGTATCGATAAGTACAAATTCTTTAAGAATTCTCACCGGCACCCAAAAATTATAAAAAAGAATTGTGTTTGAAAAATACTACAATCAAAATACTATGGTGAAGACAGATTATGGTTTGGAGTAAAAATGAATCCAAAAAAAATTGACAAAGTCAAAATATGGGTTATTATAATCTAGCCATCTTAAAAAAATGTCATCCCCGACATTTCCCTTAAGGATTCGGGCATAAACTTGATATAAATCAAATCCGTCTAATCAAAACTCAAAACAAATCAAAAGCCATAAAAAATCATATAGTGATGTAGTTCATTCTCACATGCCATTCAATTATGTGTGCAAACTAATGCACCTTAATCTACCCAATATATACATCTCTCAATCAATTCATACAGCTCTAATAACAATCAATTCTTCCAACAACTATGTTTTAATACCCCTAGAATTTAATTTAGAAAAATTATTCTTTTAATCTTTTAATAAACAACAACTATAGCTATATAATATCATTTATCAATAATAAATAACAAAACAAATTCTATAATTTAAAATATCAATGTACATAATATATGCATTCAACCCAGAAAATCATATACAATATTCGTGATCTACATAATTATATCACAACTACTCTGTCTTGAATACAAAAAAAATAACTAAAGAAAACAAAACATGAAGAATCATGACCAACCTCACACTCATACTCCCCTGCCCTGATCTTAAACCATTTAACCATATATAATGAGCTAAAAAGCCTAGCAAGTTATCAAAACTTATTACATAATTTAAAGCACAATAAATAAGCAATAAGTATATCAACAGGCAATTCATAGCAATTACATTCATATGATCATTTAATCAGTACATAAATAATAAAATTCACATGCACTAGTAGTAGAATCTATAAATAATAAAATATTACGGTATGAAAGCTAGTAATGAAAGAAATCAGTACGAGTATCAAAACTATAAAGTAATTATCATATATGTAATACCAATTAATACATAAATAATATAAAATATCAAATCAAAATATTCGTAAAGATTGTCTAAATCATATCAATATAATAAAATCATATAAGAATGTACACATATTATTCAGGCATTCTATATCACGTGCTCAGTATATCACATGCTTAATATTAGTACAGTGAATCAGTAGTTTCAAATAATATCTGTATTTAATCAGTAATAATAACAATACAGTGGCAAGAGCAGTAGAATAATATAATAATAATAGATCCATGGATTACTACTAAATTTATATAATAATAAGAATAATGTCTCAAAATATATATTTCAATAGTCACACTAAAAAAGAAAGAACTCCTGGCTATCACATTATTTTTTAGTGTTAGTATCAGTGTTATTAAACTGTTGACTCAATAAATAGAGTCGTATATATATATATATATATATAGTTTGTTTTAAAGTTTAATTAGAAGATAATTCTAAATTATTTTTAAAATTTAGATATCGAGATTTGCCTGTTACAAGCCAACATGATAGGACCTGCATAGTATGTGCGTCTTATCGAGTTGGGTTGTGACATATAGAGTATATTTTTTTGCTACGACTAATCCTCCACTGCACCACTAGGTGGAGAGCCCACATTATCAGGTTATACCATTTGGATTAACAAATGATAATGCAACATATCAAATTCTTATAAATAAAGTATTTAGGAATCTTATTGGTGCACAATTCAAGTGTATATTGATGATATGTTGGTAAACAAATTTTAAGTAGTCATGCCATCTTTCTGATAAAGTAATGTTTTTCACCCCTCTAATATTATAATATGTGTTTAATCCTATTGTATGTGACTTCAAATCACATTAGGCAAATATTTAGGATTTATGATCACTTATTGAGGAATTGAAGCAACCAAACAATAATAGTTTCGCAACTATCATCGTCCAACTGCCATCGACTAACTACGTTTTGTCAATTGTTGTCACTCAACCACCAATGTCATTAACTTTATTGCTTGCTATCACCATAAAAAAAAATAATGACAATGCAATGCACATTGAGGACACAAACTTCGACGCCCACCACTTTGTCACCCACTATTGCCACCAACTTAGTGTGCATCATCACCTATAAGATCAATGCAAACTATTGCCACAAATGCTAACACTTATTGACTTTGTCACATGTCGTCACCAACTACATCAATATTAGGATTTATACTGAGCTTTGTTGTCTCTATTTCTCCTAAAATGAGAGTGATTGAACATACCACAAAAATCCCTCGAAACAACTCTAATACTGTAAGGCTCTTCCAACAACTACCATGAAATCTATCCTCCATACCTCATGCATACTAATAGAATCATTGTAATTGGGTATGACCCTTTAGTCTTTTCCTCTTTTTTGGGTATTCCACATAAAACTTTGATATCTCTTACAATATTCTTCAATATATGCTAAATCTTTTTACAAAGCTTAAATGTTAAACACTCTTTCTACTATCATAATATTTTTTAGCATGCAATAGTTATAGTGTCTAAATCATATCAAAACATATACATGAAAAAGAATATTTCATTTTTAAATAATTAATTTAGCATTGGTTATATTTTTTATATGATTTGTATAGTTCCCCCAATTGTGGTTAAAACTGTCACTAGGAAAAATTTTCGATAAAGGATATTCAAACTCAAATTTTGTTATGATGGATTTTATTTCATTGGATTTATTTGAAGATGAGAATTATATAAGATTTGATTGATTTGTATATTTTATCTTATTTCAAAGCAAATTAAATAAGAAGAAATGTCGTCTTTATTAAATTTAAATTAGCTTACCCTTACCCAAATTTTTTTTTTCTATGTACCTCTTATTTTATTTATATTTGGTGATTGATTTATATTCCTCACTCATGAAAAATATAATACTAATTCACAATGTAAACTGAACAAACAATCTAAGAATGGCAAGAACAAAATCTAAAGCCACAACAAAAGAAGCGAATTGGAATATGATGTATGTACATTTGGTGGAGCTTCCCCTCTCCCTTTTAAACATAAAACATAAATTCTCATCATCATAATAGTTCAATAAGAGCTCATAATAACCATTAAATTTAAGGAAAATGAGAGACTTTCTCTTAACAATAATTTGATCATGAAAAATTCTAAATATGAACTTGATGGCAACTAAGAGAATATCAGAAGTCTCCAGTCTTTTTGACTCACAAAAGCCATTCTTACTCAGAATATATATAAAGTATAGCAGAGAAACCAAGTCCCTACCCCTCCAACAGAACACCAGTAGATAGATTAAGTGATTTTTGTTTCCTGTTATATTATGTTTTCACTTCTCTAGTCTAGTCTGTGCGGATATCTCTTCAGAACTACTTGATGATGAGGGATTGCGGCCATAGTCACTAGTCTGTCCACTGTACTCTTGGCTCAAATCATTGCTGTTAAATACAGCCTTTCTGAAACGCCTCATCTTAGAGGCGTAGGAGCCTGATTCATGCTCTGAACTAGAAGTAAACTGCATGCTTTGCCCAGGCTTCACGCCCTCAGTCAAGTCCTCAAGAGATGAGTCACCTTCCAGTGCTCTTACAATCTGCACAAAGAAATGCATTAACAAGTTTGATAAATGGCAAGAGCTTTCCTTTACAAAAATTATGGAATGATGAAATTAAGTTCGGGAAATATGAGTTATTCTGAAGAAATTGGGGTTTGGGTGACTATGAAGAAAAACTAACATGTGGAAAAGATAATGAGCTATGTACTGATATTTGAAAATGAAAAGGATCACAGGTAAGAGAAGTAAGAGTCTTTAGTATGGAAACTTTTGAGAAATGGTTCTAAGGCTTCGTTTGGACTACTTTTTTATTGCTTCTTAAAGTAGCTTTTTAGTATAAAAAATAAAAATTTTGTACTAAAAAAATGCTTTAAGAAGCAGAAAGAAAGCTGTTCCAAACGAAGCCTAAAACTAATTCAACTACCCATAACGAAAAAGATAGTAGATTATTCTGTACCTGGCTCATCTTTGGACGCATTTTAGCAGAATGGCGAACACTAGTAGCAGCGCATGTTACCATCCGCGCCATCTCCATTTTGCTGTAATTTCCCTCCAGTCTTGGATCAACCAGCACCTCCAGCTCCTCATAGTTTTCATCAGTTAATGCCTGTGTCAATAGAGGCCTTGCCTGATAGCAATAGACATGTATTAGACATACAATTTTATATGATCGATATCTTCATCAAAAGTTATATCTTGAATAGCCTTCAAACAATGACTTGCCCAATCAACCAAGCTATCCTCCATAGGATTGCTGTGAACTGGCCTCTTTCCTGTTATAAGCTCCAGAAGCATCACACCGAATGAGAAGACATCAGACTTCTCAGAAAGCTTGCCACTTGATGCATATTCAGGAGCTAGATACCTGAAATATGATTACAGTAGTTTCATAAGGAACTCATTCTCATGGCCAGACTGGCTATCAATTAAGCTCACCCAAACGTTCCCATGACACGAGTGGAGATGTGGGTGTAGTTGTCTGAAGATAGCTTAGCCAGTCCGAAGTCCGCAACCTGTTTTAATCAATTTCAAACACTTAATTATACATCAAATCATGAAGGCAGCATGTACAGATTTGCCTCACATACCTTCGCCTCAAATCTATAATCCAGTAAAATATTTGAAGCTTTGATGTCTCGATGGATGATGCGAGGATGACCTTCATTTAATGTCACAGAGAGAAAAAGAAAATGTGAATAGTTAAAATAATAATCAAGAAAGAAGCATTGTGGACATCAGTTACTCACAATCTTCATGCAAGTAGGCAAGGCCTTTAGCTGATCCTAAAGCAATTCTCATTCTGGTAGGCCAATCCATTGTTGGTTGGTCCTTTCCTGCAACAACAACCAGGAGCTTCATTTTCAATAATTCTTTTGAGTGCATTTAAGCAACCATAAATATCCTGGAAAAGTCCATTTCAATATGAAACATGTTTGGAAATCTCTGAAATCTTATCAAACACGGAGAGCCTAAAAAGGAACAAAAGAAGAATTGAAGATAAATGCACAAGAAAGCACAAAAAGTTTATATACAATTGATAGCTATGCCATGTTATTGATCATAGAAAATTACAACACATACGGAGGCCAATCAGGACGCACCACATCATCCAATGCACTGTGCATTGGGTGATGTGGCGCTTTCAGATTACAATCCGGATGCATCCGGATTGTATAATTTTTTGAAAAAAAGTTGGCTCCACAACTCAAGAAGAATACAGTTGCAATCAAGATTTATTCATATATGTGATGTTTTAATCGTGCACAATTGTCTTAAATCAGAAAGCTTACCATGAAGGTGGAACTCAAGAGTCTTGTTAGGAACAAACTCATATACAAGCAACCGTTGAGACCCAACAATGCAGTAACCAACGAGGGAGACCAAGTGGCGATGATGAACTCTGCTAATGATCTCAACCTCTGCCTGGAACTCTCTCTCACCTTGCCCACTTCCTGCCTTAAGCTGTTTCACTGCAACCTCTTGTCCATTTGGTAATATTCCTTTGTGCACATAGCCAAAACCACCCTGTCCTAATATGTTTTCCTCAGAGAACCCATTTGTAGCTGCTGCCAACTCTTCATAGCTGAATGAGCTCTTAACGAAACCAATTGGAGGACCATTTGGTTCTGAGTAACCAACGCTGTTTTCGTTGTTGATGGCTGCGGGACTATGAGGTGGATTCCAAGCCTTGCCTGGAGGTGGTGGGAGCTTGGCCCCAATGTTGTAGTAATTATTGCCTGCCAGTCCGGATTTAGTAAATCTCGAGGGTTAAATTCTGAAACTGTTTGAGAGGGATAAATTATTTGGCTATTTGTTTCAATATTTAAAACTTGTGAAAAGTGAAATTGTTCAGGCTCATTATAATTAAAATATGTTGATTAGTGTTGGATTAAGAAATTTTTGTGAGTTAATAGAGTTCATTGATGAATAATGGGCATTAAAATTGACCAAGAGTTTCAATATATGGAGCCTGTCTTTCTATGAATATTCTCTAACCATCCTGCTTAAATAATGAATTCCTGAATGAAATTTAGTTAAAAAAGCAATATAGAAACCTTTGACCCCCGGATCAGGATAATAGTTTATAGAATTAGGAGTCTTCTTCTTCTTCGCCACCTTTTCCTTTTTTTTCCTGCAGCAAACACATGCTACAACGCCGATAATCAGAAAGAACAGTGCGATGCCTGCAGCAATCCCAGCTACCATTGGAAGATTGACATGAGAGCCTCCGGATGACTTTTTTGAATCAACATTGTAATCATTTGTTGACGGTGAAGAATGGGGAGGAGCCTCTGCTGCGCGTTTTGGCGGTGGAGGTGGCAGGAAAACATCGGCGGAAGGAGGTGGTTTGAAGGATGAAGGCGGTGTTGGAGAGGGCGGTAAGGGTGGAGGTATGGTTGTTGGTGGAGGAGGAGAGCCTTTGGAAGATGAGGGCGGTGTTGGGGAGGTCGGTAAGGGTGGAGGTAAGGTGGGTGATGGGGGAGGAGACTCATTAGGTGATAATGGTGGCGGAGAGTAAAATATTGGAGCCGGTGAAGATGGAGCGGGAGGCGGCGGAGACGAATATTGAGGCGAATCTGGAGGTGGCGGAGATGAATATTGAGGCGGAGGAGTTGAATTTGGAGGAGGCGGAGATGAAGCTGGAAGAGGCGGAGATGAAGCGGGAGGAGGCGGAGGGAAATGCAGGGGTGGCGGAGATGATGGAGGCGGTGACGTTGGAGGCGGGGATGATGGAGGCGGTGAAGATGGAGGCGGTGAAGATGGCGGTGGTGATGATGATGGCGGTGGTGATGATGGTGGCAGTGCCGACGCAGGAGGAGGAGGAGGAGGAGGAGGAGTTGAAGCTTCGGGTGATGGAGGAGACGTCGAGTTCTTGGAAGGCGAATCGGAGTCCGGCGGCGGAGCAGTCGCAGGCGAGGATGCCATGTCTAAAACTGCTCCTTTTGGCCGGTAATCCTTCTGGATAGAACAAAATTAACAAATTTCAATCAAAGATAAAAAGGGGAGATTAAGGAGGAGTCGGTATGATTCATTAGAACAGGGAGCTAGATCAATATCCAAAGATTATCAAAAAGTATACACAAACCTTCTTTTTCTATTGCATTTAAATGTTTGTTCTGAAAATAAGAGGAGAGAGATTAGAAGGGAAGGAGAAGAGCTGAGGATGAAACATTAAGCTTTGGCTTTGGCCCTTCTCCAACAAGCAAGAGCGCCCTGTTCTCTGGAATGCTATGAACCTGGTTTTGCTATTATTGATGGGAGGAACAGAACGGGAGAGAGAGAGAAGAAAGAAAGAAAAAGGAACCCACTTAGTTTGTCGGGGATGAACGACCGTTGGCTTCGGAGGCTAACGGCCGTGCGGATTAACCGCTTAACATCTTGGGGTTATTTGGGACTCTGCGTTGGTGATTCCCCGTGCAAATCAGCCAGCTCGATCTAACCTGTCAAAATGCCAACAGCCTTCGATTCATGGTGAATTATTGTGTCCGGTCACCGGATGTCCGGTCATCCAATCCGGTGACGCCACGTCACCCAAATATACTGAGTTCCAATGCACTTTGGTGACATGGCGACACTGGATTGGTGTCCGAACGAACCCGAACACCGGACACAATAATTTGCCTCGATTCATGGGGTTAATTTGCAAACTACAATTTGCATGGCAAAATTTGTCTTTACTAATTTATTATCATTTTTGCAACCGGTACTTTGGGACCCCCATTGAAGGGGCGACTACCACTCGAGGGAATTGAACTTGAGATGGGAGGTTCCCAATAGAGCACGCCCACCAACTGAGCTAAGCATTTGTGGGTTAAATTGCCCCTCCTATATCTCAGATGAATGTTCCAACATTAAAGTACCACATTTAAGTTACTAGAAAGTGGTCAAATCTGACCATTTCATAAAATGTATGGTTGAAGATCATCGAAATTGAAATCATTCTGATTAAGCAATAACAAGTGTATTTTCATTTTAAATTTTGAGTTACATCTATGTTGAAAAGTAAAGAAATAATCAAATTTATTAAAAAAAATCTAAAATTTGCTTAATCATAAGGTTAATATTTGCATTGATGATCTTCAGTAGTACACAATAAACATATATATTAGGACATTGACTCTTCTATATATAGACCCGAGAAATCACCGATAGTGATGAAGATGAAAATGTTGCATTGAAACTTTGTCTCAGAAATTTCTATTTTCGAAAAAGAAGCTTTTTATTTTTTATTTTTTTTCATTGACAAAATGTCATAATAGATAATAAAATAATATCTTGATTTTTCTAATCATTAAAGTATCTGCTGCTTCTTCTTGATCCAAAGAGCAAAATCAAAGAAACTCGAGAGTATTTCACAAGCTTCTCACTTTGTTGCTGAGGTGCTGCGAAGTTGAGCTCAGTTCGTTTGCGATGAAGGAGGGCGATCTGCTTCCCACGTCAGCCACAGCGCTCGCCGGAGGCAAGCTTTCTACTGCTGCGGCGGAAGCGATGCTCTTTGGCCGAGGCCGCTGCAAGTTTTGGGCCCTCGCTGCCATCAGCCTCCTGGCCTTCTGGTCCATGCTTGCCAGCACCGTTACCCTCAAGTGGACCGCCGGAAACCTTAAAGGAATCTCCGAAGAGCTTGATTCTCTTTCCCAGGACGATCTCGACATCCTGGTTTCTAATGCAACTCGGTTTACGCTTTATCCGTTTCCCTCGCTCGATATCTATGTTGATCTGTCTCTAAATCGACGGTTTGGTTCGCAGGAACTGGAGGAAAGGGAGATGGTGGTGAGGCATATGTGGGACGTGTACACGCACAGCCGACGGATCCGATTTCCGCGCTTTTGGCAGGAGGCATTCGAGGCCGCATACGAGGACCTCGCCAGCGACGAGGCGGAGGTGCGGGACTCTGCAGTGACAGAAATAGCCCGGATGTCCATGAAGATGATAGTTTTGGAGCCGACGCCTGGCAAAGCCAAGGTAATTGTTTGTTTTGGCGCATCCTCTGTTGTTTATGCCTTTTTTTGTTATTGAATTGGGGATTTGGTGTTGCGATATTTTTTTTCTGTTCAAAGGGAATAAAAAAGACTTAGCGTATAGATAAGCTCTCTTCGAGCGATTGACAGCTCCCAGAACAAGAAAAAAGGAAAATTAATTGAAGAAAAGGTGAAATTAGCTATGCATTCATGTATGTCTACGTCCCCTGTCGTGGTAGTCGGTGGAATAAGGAATCGCAAGACAAAAACAACAGCAGTAGCACAACAGAGGAGCGAAAGCTTTTAGAGCACAAACTGTGATAATATGTAATGTAATGTAATCCTTTTCTTCTTACAGCAGCTATATGCATCTGTTAGACCGGTCTGACCAGTCCATAAGGTGTGGACGAAACAGGCGGAGGCTTTTCCCCTCCTGTACGTAGGAGCGGACCGCCCAGGTTAGACGGAGGTTTTTTTGGAAGGATTTTTTGAGGGAGTTAGGAGGGAAATTTGAATGTAGGGACTGTTCAGAGATTTACTTTTGAATTGTATGCATTAAATAGTTGTTTTTTCTAAGTTTATGACATCTTGAATTTTGCTGAAATTTCAGATATCTTAGGTTTAGGTTACTTTGGACTCTAGCGACGTCTGGAGAATCTGGAGAGATCGATCCTCTCAAATTGAGGTTCACTTGTAGTTTTGTTTGTTTTTCTTCCATTAGTTGATTATTCTCAATAAAGTGAGCTGTTTTTCTTTGATTTTTGTTGTCTCTCTCCTCCCCTTCCCTCTTTCTCTTCTAAGAAGAGCTCAAGACATCGACAAAGTTCCAACATTTGGTATCAGAACCACGGTGGCGGTGATCTCGAAGGAGGAAGGTGTTCTTGAGGTGTTCAAGTTGTCGGTAACCTGCAGAAGCTAATCAGTGCGGAGGTTCCACAATCGGCAAGGCAGAGCAGACGGGCTCATTGTTGTGGCCTTCGACGTTCGCGTGAATGGGGCAAAGACCGATCTTGCAAGCGACCGCGGGGGTGGCTGCAGGTGAGGCCGCTGGATCGGTCTGGCCGGGCGGCGGAAGACCGCGCGGGTGGAAACCGCACGGGGTGCTTGCGGGAGCGCGGAGGTGCGTCCGTGGAGTCCGGGAGGCCGAAGGTGCCTGGCGCTTGCGAACACGCGTGGTAGGCTATTCGAAAGGAGGCGACACTGGCAAGGAGGCTTGCCGCTGATTAAGTTTATTCTTAAACAATGTGTATGCTTGCATGAAAAGGACCATGGGACTTTGTGGAAGCATCAGGATTGGAGAACTGGCCTTCTAGAAGTAGACGTTCAAGAAGGCTTTCTGTGTCATTTAAATGTACGATGGCTAACTATGAATATGGTTTCTTATGGAATTTTTATCAGGATGGAAAGATTGGTTCGTCCTGGTTGTTGATTACAGAAGGGAGCTAAAGAGAGCATTGTGTGGTTTAGAGGCGGAGAGAGAGCCTCTTTTTCTTGAATTGAATCAAGGTGGAGAATTACAGGAGCTTGTTGAAGCATCAAGAACCTTGGGGAGGCAAGATTGTCGAGAACTTGTAATTGGACGATCTAGCTGGTCTCTAAGAGTAAAGCCACTCATCCACATGAGCATCCTCATGTCTGCAATATTTAACTTAATATTATGTTTCTCTTTTAATGGCCAACATTTTGCACCATAAAGCATTGCAGTCTCACCACCATCTTATAAAATTTTTCCTTTAGTTTGAAGGGGACTTTTCTATCACACAACAAGCCTAATGCATTCCTCTACTTTAACCATCCAACTGGAATTCTGCTAATAATATCACCAGTTATCTAAAATGTGTACTCTTATTAATGTGTACTCTTATTAATGACTTGATCGCCCAAAGTCACAAACCCTAAACTAGATCTATTACTACTAAAAATTACATTCCATCTATTTTGTTTTAGATCTACCTCCATAATTCAAGTTTACCTTCAACTCCCTCTCTAGTCTTATCAACAAGAAGAATATCATCAGCAAAAAGCATACACCAGGGTACAACCTTTTCCAAATGTTTCGCAGCCACACATCAATCTAGAATGTGAATTGAAGCACTCCGCAATGCGTCTCACTCGCAGCTTGCTTGCTTGAGTCGCCTTGTTCGCAGCTTCTCCCTTGCACAATTCAATCTTCAGGGTTTATAACGGGAAGACGAGCAAGCATGTAAAAAGTAATTTTACCTAGATGCTTATAAAGAAGCGAAGCTCTCCAGATTTTGGCTAATTTAAACGACAAATTTAACCCAGGGCCAAAATTGGGCAATTTTTAATAGTTGAGGGATACAATTGGGACAATATGAAACTCTATGACTAATTTGAGCATTTATCAATAGTTGGGGAACTATTTCAAGCTTTTACTCCATTTATATGTTGTATCTTGGTGTATGATTTTTGCTGATGATATTTTTCTTATTGATAAGACTAGAGAGAGAGTTGAAGGTAAACTTGAATTATGCAGGTCAACCTTAGAGTCTTAAAGCTTTCGTTTAAGTAGATCTAAAACTGAATATATTGAGTATAATTTTAGTGATAATAGTTCTTGTGGGGGGGATTGTGACTTTGGGTGATCAAATCATTAATAAGAGTACACGTTTTATATATATTAGTCTATTGTTTAGAGTGATGGTGAAATAGATAGGGATATTATTAGTAGAATTCAAGTTGGATAGTTGAAGTGGAGGAATGCATCGGGATTGTTGTGTGATAGAAAGGGCCCCCTCAAACTTAAGGGAAAATTTTATAAAATGGTGGTTAGACCTATAATGTTTTATGGTGCATAATGTTGGCTATTAAAAGAGAAGCATAATATTAAGTCAAGTGTTGCAAATATGAGGATGCTCAGATGGATGAGTGGCTTTACTCTTAGAGACAAAATTCAAAATTAAGCATATACGTGAAAAGATTGGAGTAGCTCCAGTAGAAGATAAGATTAGAGAGAGTCGCTTTAGATGGTTTGTTCACTTAAAATGGAGGCCTTCCGATGACTCGGTTAGGAAAGTATATGTATTAGATTTGACTTATGTTAAGAAAGGTAGAGGTAGACCTAAAAAAACTTGGTTATAAAATTTTAGAAATGGCCTTTCTTTTTTAGATTTAAATGAGAATGTAACTTTTAACAAGGCATAATGGAGAAAGAAATTCATGTAACTAATCCAACATAGTGGAATAAAGACATGATGTTGTTGTTGTTGTTGTATTTATTCTATCATAGTGACTCTCAACCCAAATATATATTATATATAGCTTCGTTAACAGAATCCCACCTCAGTAATCCACTTGTGCCGGCATAACAGAATCCACTTTGGTCGCCCACTAGTTCTGGCATAACAACACATCATATCATCTCACATTTCTTTCACCATTTTACACAATTTTTGATGCATTTCATGCCTTAACGGTAGGCAATAGAAATACTACTGAGAAAAAATATATAATTTTCAAACATAACAAAATTACCCAAGATTGTGTAAACCATTATTATAAGACATTAATCGTACTACGGTACTATTTTTAAGAGTATGGATTTTTTTATATTTAATAAAACCCATAAAAAATCCAAAACACATGGCTGAAAATGTTCAGAAAATATTCAAAATATTTGTAATCACGAGCTCTATAACATATAAAAAATTATGTGATATAAAGTTATTCTCATTTTTCGATAATGAAAATATAAATTTTATCAAATAAATCCTAAAAACATCGAATTATTGAAGACTGAGATTGACAAATCGACACTTACCTTGAGGGGAACAATTTTCCCAACTAGCCCGATGGCTAAAAATGGCTCGAAGCAGCTCAAAATCCTTCATTTCTTCTCCAAAACCTCACATTCTCTCTCCTCATGTCGGCTGCATGTGATCAAATGCAATGGAATAGTGCTTTTAAAATATATTTAATGTGTTGTTAATAGCCTAGCGCTGTGGCGCTACAATCCGAGAGCTGTCGCACTAGTTTAAAACTCAAATTTCAGAGCCGTGAGCACTGCAATGTACTATTTTTCGCTTGGTATTGTAACAACACTGAGGCGCTCAAATAGTAATATTTCTCATATTTTGGCAAAATTCACACCAAACACTTGAGACTCATTCTAGAACATATAAAAAATCATTTTCATGCATAAAACACTCTCAAAGACATGCAAATGGGTTCAGTCAAAATTTCAAAGATTTATCTTTTTCTAATCGGTTCAAATGGCTGAATTGGACTCTGATACTGGAGAGTGGAGATCTCACACTTAGAATTCTATTTCATTTCCCTTTGACATTAAACCAATTCTCGTGAATGGGCTTACTTCAAAAGGAAGTTGTCTTGTATCCATGAGGACACTAAGGTTTCGTCTGGGACAGACTTCTCACTAGTTTGCTTTTCAGATCTCAACCAAAATCTCTTTTTAGTGATATCTTTTTTTATTTCAAAAAGTTTCTATGATAGTTTTAAAACTGTACTTTCTGTACATCAATTTTATAAAGCACTAAGAAAGTCGTCCCAAATGAAACCTAAGAGATCCCCTTGAAAAGGACTTTTTGCATTTAGAATGGGCATCTCAATGCAGAAGCCTTATTTGATGATGATTGTGTTAGTACATTGATGGAAGAAAATTCATATATGGATACTACATATTTATTGGAGCTAATTTGGTCAAATGGTAAAATAAAAATCAAACTGTCGTAGCTAGATGTAGCGTAAAGGGAGATTTTGCAGCCACGACACAATCTACTTGTTAGATGATGTGGGTCAAAACACTTAAACGGAATTAGATTTTTCAGCTTTATAACTTATGGTATATTACATGTATAAAAGTTGTTCAAAAATGATCTGTAGATAATATATTTAGCACTGTAAAAAATACTTCAAAAATGCATGAAAAAAATAAGAATTCATAATGCCCCCAAATAATTGGGATAAGGCTAATGATGATGATTTGTAATTATCTATATTGCTAATAATCTAATATTTCATAAAAAAACCAAAACCAAATATATTAAGATTGATTGTCATTTCAGTTGGGATGCTATGCTATCAAAGAAGATTGATACTCTTGATAGAAAACATTTGAAGATCTTTCTTATAAATTTTTGGAAAACAGTAAAACTTCTCCGCAAGAATCTACACAAAACCACGAAAACAGTAGATAATTTGTATTATTTGATGAAATAGAAATAGAAAATACCAAGATACACTTGATCCTCTATTCGAGAGGATGATCTATCTCTCACAAATCTCTAGACGCCGCTTGAGCCCAAAAACCTTAGGGATCTCAAATTTCTGCCAAATTCAAGATGTACTAACCCTAGGAAAACAAACTATTTAATGCATAAAATCCAAAAGAAAATCCCTAAATAGTCCCTATATTCAAATTTCCCTCATAACTCCCCCAAAAATCCTTCCTAACTCGCTCCGTTGGCTTTGGCAGCTCGGTCGCGCGTACAGGAGAGGTTGAACGCTTCTGCCTATGTTCTGCCTGACCCGATCCCGTATGGACCGGCTGGATTGGTCCAGTGGACCTATCTAACATACTCCTCATTTCCGACTCAAATGATCTTGTAGATATATTCACCATACCTTGGAGTCTTCTTCAGTATCCAAGAATATGCAACAAATAGGAGTTAACTAATATATGCTCTAATTTAAGGGGTATTATTAGCATTATATTTTTTTATCTTAAAAATGTCTTGTTATGGTTAGCCAACTCTGTTTAGTTGGTGGTCCTTCCAAATATTATATTCTCTCACTTATTATAATTTATAAATTAAGAGGCACTCCTCTAAGTAAACGCAATCTAATCTTTTTTTTTTTTTCTCAACAATAATAATAGATAACATATCACGTTCTCATACCTCATCACAAGCATGTATAAATAAATAAACTTAAATAAATAACAAAACTATGAAAAAGAAAATTGCATTTCTGAGTTTGCAGCTTCTTTTTCCGCAGAATTCAGCAGCAGAGATTAGTCACGCTGGTCGAGATGGCATTACAAAGCCAAACTCTTCATCATCTGCGTAGATCAATATATATATGTAGAGGCATTCAGAGTTCTCTCTTCTTATATTGAACCTACCGTGCTCAGGATTGTTGAAAAGGCTACTGGTATGCCAATGTTTTGTTTTTCATTTTTCTTTTGTAATTTAGCGCCGTTGCTTGTTTCTGTTCTTCATGCGTAGATGAAATCAAGCAATATTTTAGTTATTAATGTGCTACTAGTTAGCCAACCTGAAATTTAGATAAGTTAATCTGTCATGCTCTTTGCAACTTCTCTTTTGCATACTCTGATTTTATGTGCAGAAATATCCCAGTTAAAATTTTCTAACTTTAAGCATTTCCTTAATGGTTCTATTTTTTCACATGAGCTTCCTGTGTGTTGCCTGCTTTAATGTGTTGAACACTGGTTGCATAATACAAAAAGTGTACTTCATCACTGCAGAAGAGTAGATAGCCTATGATGGTGTTTTTGATATGACCATATATTGTGATTTAGGTTTTGTTTGGGACATTTTTTTACTACTTTATGAAGTAAAAATTTATTTGAACTAAAAAATTTTGTACTATAAAATTGTTTTAAAAAGCAGTAAGAAAGCTATTCCAAATGAAATCTTAAGATCTGATTGGAACGACTTCTGTATGTAAAATTAGTTTTAAAAATTATTGTGAATATTATAAATTTCCTCTCTAAAAGAAATTAGTTTTTTTTTTACACCACTTCAACATATTTGATTGTGAAAAAGTTCATCACATTTTTCCTTGGCCTTCAGTATTTGTGTTACATGACCTGACATTGTTTTTGTTGTCAACAAGCTCTCATAGTTCACTTCAACCCATCATTGGTTTGTCATTAAACTGGTTATTATGATACTTATGTAAATTGATGGATCATGCTCTTGACATTTATCAATTGGAAGCGCAATTAAATATATTAAAAGAGGCATATGAGTTAGTTACCTTAGTAGATTGGAAGGGCTGTAGAGCCTCTGAGGTGTGGGTAATGGCTCCCACCAAGCAAGAGGCAATTCATATCTTTAAAGATCAAATGGCATCTCCAATGGAGTGGCATTTTCATGAGATAAATCCTTGTATCATTATGTATAATTATTTTAATTTTCTCCTTTATTATGCTATTGTTTTTATTGAATTTTTTATTGGAATTTCTCGCATTCAATTGAAATGAGGAAGTATTTTTATTTTTTTAAATGATCTTATGTACATCTTTATACCCTCTGATGAAAGAAACAAATCATTATTCCACAGCCTCTCTTAAAAGATGCTTTTGTTTTATTAATTTGTGCTTGCGGCAACAAATTATTCTCTGTTAAAACTGAAAATTTATAATGTTAACAGAACTGCATGCTTCAATGCTATAATTGTTGGGGAAGTACAACCACGCAGCGAAACAAACAAGAAATTAAAAAAAAAACAAGAAATTGAAAAATGTAGCGGAAAAAAAAAAAGCATCACGATTAATGTGGACAAACCCAAAATCGGGAAAAAATCGCAAATCTAGGCCGCACCTAAAAAATTGATTATGAAAATTTATAAGAAATAGTATAGATCTCTCTCTTTTTTCTCACTCTCCTTGTCTCTCTTTACTCTTGCATTGTATTATTATATGAACAAACAAAGAGAAATCCATTTAAACCACCAATGGACATCCCTTCATGAAAAAAGAGAGAAAATTGTGCAGCCTATCTCGCAGCATCATTTTTGGAGCATCGTGACGCTTAACTCTATATCTCTAGTATGTGTAACAACACCACAACATTGGGTACAAAAGCGTCACAACACTCCACTCTTTTCTACCTCTAACCAAACAATATAACACCGCAATATTTAGGTATACATCACCACAGTGATGCACGGTTTTAAGGCAAAAAATTCTGGTGCAGAGCACCCAAACAAGCGTGGGAAGAACCTCTACAAGCCCCCACGAGCTCGACCGATGGAATTAAGATCCAAGGCAACAATATAATCTCAATTGATCAACATAATTAGATTACACACAAAACTAATAATAGTACTTGCAACCATAAAATCAAGATACTGCTCATAAGGTGTGTTATGTATAGGAAATTTGGCATACAACTTTAAAAACACAATTACGGGCTCTTGCGTCGCAGGTCGTTGATTGACGCAAATTTGTTCCTCCCCGCGAAGCACCTCAACTTCCCAAACTTAAAAAAAAAATACAATTACTGTCTTTAATCAACAAGTCACAAGTCCTTTCTCCAATATGTTACTTCATTTTGTAAACGAACTCAATTTTTTTTCTGAAGTTATTTTAATTTTGAGCAATAAGACAAAGGGATTATACATATTATTCTGACATAGAGATGCTATTAACAATGTATTAACTAAAAAATAATGTAAAGAATACCCCCTAACTTGTTCTTTAATAATTCACTCAAACTTCTCTGTACATTAACTAAGCTTTCATTAATTAGATACTAAATTCTTCTTGCTGTCATAATATTTCATTCAAAATTCTTATTAAGTAACCAAAAGCAAATTACATAGCCGCCATTAATATCCTGAAGAAGCTCCAGTTGCAGAGCCAGCGGCCGTGGCGATATCAGAGGGTTGTGGATGAGGAGGAAGTGAGAGATGACTACGACTACGACTATTTTTTTTGGTATCTTACCGTTCTCTGTGTATGCATTGCAATTTACTTCCATATTAACTAAAACACAAACAAACAAAAGAAATCCAAGCCCTCGCTCTCAACATATCCTTCTCTTCTTCTCAGCTCTCCATCCTCTTCTCTACATCAAGTATCCCATATCATAACAACTGCAATAACACCAATTCCCAACGCCACAGCCAGCCACCGAGCAGAAGGGGTGTCGGCAGCAATAGGTCTCTGAGGCGTATACCCCTTCGAAAGAAGATGATTTATAGAGACATAGATGAAGACGCCACAGGCAAGTCCCATAGAGATGGCGTAAATCCAATCGGCCACACGGCCTTGCGTTGTTGCGTCTATGATTATACCGATCGCCACACCAATGGGACTTGAAATGGCAAACGCAAAGGAATACGCTACACAGGAGAGTAAGGGACGATTCGGCATCATGCGCAGGAGAGCTATGCCCATGGCGATGGCTGCAAATATCTTGTGGAGGCACACAGTCCATAGTGCTTTCCATGCATCTGCTTTGGTTTCTGCATTTTTCAGAAAGTTCAGTACAATGCTTGATCATTTAGGCTTTCGTTTGGGACGGTTTTTTTAATGCTTCTTAAAGCAATTTTATGTAGGAAGAAAGGTGTCCCAAACCAAGCCTAACATCATTGAAATCAATTTGGCTATAATTTTCTTACTATTTTTTATGATGAGAATAAGTTTTTCATAATTGATTCAACTTTTTTTTTCTCATAATTGATTCAACTAGAATCTTATAATTATAAGAAAGTTGTCTATCTGATTTTTTTTTAAAGAGGACAAATCAATAATGCTCAATGAAAAATCTGCAAAAAAAAAAAAATTGTTTTTGTTTTTGAGGTAGTTTGAATCCCGGAGATCTTACCTGCTACACCGATAGCAATTCCCTCAAAAACAGAATGAAAACACAATGCCACAATCAACAAAACATTATCTCCAAAAGAACTGGCTTCATAGAGCAAGGACTTCACAGATTGGTCATGTGAATGCACTCCAACAGCCTGCATGAAGCATTAAACAATGAAAGGATAGAGGAGACAGAATGCCAAATTTGGGAGAAATTATTCTGTGCGGAGACCGGACTTAGAACGTCGTCCGGAAACCAAATACCGAGCAGTACCGAGCCACGATACCGAGCGCACGGGTGATGTGGCGCATTTTGGTTTGTCTGGTCTCTGGACGGAGTTTGACGTCCGCACAGAATAATTAATCCAAATTACGAGAGATGAAAAGCTGAAGTAGAATTTGTGGGTACTTCAATGATTTTACAACTAAATCATTGAAACTCCAATATTTTCTAGTACAATATAAGTTAGAACTAGCTCAAACTCATTGGCTCATCTTGAGCCAGTCTCAAGAGCCATTTATTGATTCAAACTCGAGCCGGCTCAACTTATACCATTAAATTGAGGCCTCATGATCTCATTCAATTTCTACCATTTAACAACTTTCATAAAACTACATGAAAGGCAAGAAGAAAACACAAAATTTTACATCAAAAACATGAAGAAGAATAAATCAAACAAATCAAGGGCCAAGTAATATTCCATATGCGTCTAAATGAGTTAATCTATAATCTCTACATCAGCTCCTACTTTTCAAACACATAATAGTTTTTTTTCCCCTTTTTTGAAGGTGAGAAAAATATGAGCGGCCATTGACTCATTAACGAAGAAAAGAAGCAACCATACAAAAATAAGCTCACCTCAGGCTGTGGCTGTGAGGCCACGCCATTTTGTCCGGATTGGCTCTCTTGAACTTTCGCTGCATCATCATAAAAATCATTCTCAATATCAGTAACAAGATTAGCCGATAAGCTGAGATCTGTTATCAAAATAGTCAACAATACCTTCAAGCTTCCTTCTGAAAACAGTAATTAAAGATTCAAAATCACAATTGACGTGCAAAGACCATTCTATCATCAATTTTTTAACACTTCCCATCCCAATCCGAAGAAGACCTAGTCTTCGTTTTTCGTATCCACAATCAAAATCGAGCCTTTCTAGCTAATTTCCTTTAAACTGTCTTTGGTTCAGAAGAATTAGGTGAAAAAGGAAATAGTTTTTTATTCACAATCGCATCTTGATGTTTGTTTGGTTGTAATTCATAAGAACTGATTAATTTTGCCTGAAAATCAGAACGCCTACATATTTCTGACTGTCTCTCTCTCTCTGGTTATCTATCAGTTTCTGTAGATTCTTCACTTTATTGGTTATTCCTTCAAACCAAACAAAAAAAAAACAAAATTTTTCTCTCAATTTCTTCTCAAATAAACAAGTGGTTGAAAAGTAGTTTTATTCGATTTCTTTACCATTTCCTATCTTTAAATTTCTTGAAGCCAAACAGAACCTAAATATAGACAAAGCAAAAAAGAAACAGTAAGAGAATCTCACCTCCTTCAACATCCTGAACGCTTCTTCCCCTTGCAACAACGCCAGCGATGACGCAGTCGGCGAGCAAGGTGACCAAATACCCCGCGCTAGCCAGCATGAATGCGAAAGGGTATTCCTTATCTGTCAAATCCTCAAAGGTCGAGTTAGAATCACTCAAGAAGTGCATTAGCGCCGTCCCCAAAAACACACCGCCGGCGAACAGCGTCCCAAGCGCGAGGAACGCCTCGTTCCACTTGAGGAAATAAGGGGAGATCCCACCGGCGAAGGTTCCTGCGAAGACGATGATCAAACACCATATCTTAACCAGAATCAGCGACCGGGACCGGAGATTTGGCGGCGGTGAGTCGGAGTCGGCATCATCATCGTCGGCATGGCCGCCGTGGGCGGCGGCGGAGAGGACGAGGGCGAGGAAGAGGAAGGGGAGGAGAGAGGAGGAGGAATTGGCCATGGCAAAGGTTCAACATTATAGTTATTGGGAGAGAGATTAAATAATAGGATTTGGGCAAGATTTGATTTTGAGACGAGAAGGGTTGGCTTTGTACTTTTGCGAAGACCATTTTCGTACTGCAAAGTTTTTCGGTGAGGAAGGAGATAACTGCGGAGACGTGTAGTACGACAGCGATGGTACAAACTAGGAATCGTGTGGCCACCGGTGCGGCGGCGACAAGTCAGCAACAGCTTGATCTATTTTCATCGAACTAATAAAATTCTTCCAAAAAAAATATTTTTTAAAATATTTATATAATTAAAATAAATGTATACATGTATCATATAAATAAAACTTAAATTCAAAATTAAGATTAAAAATTTTTTAATTGATAATTAAAACTCCAAACAAATAGATCAAAAAGAGTTGCATAATAAAATTTCAGTTAGTTTCTCTTTGCAATATTTTTTTGATTCAAAAATTTCTAAAAAATTATTAAAATATTAGTCAAAATCAAATCAAAATATATTCATAGAATATATATTTTATTTAAATAAATTAATATTACTCATATTATCATTAATATTTTAAAATTGAGTATAATATAAATCAATATAATAATT